AATCTTTGGCATGTAAATAGAAGTTGAGTACCCATGTTTGATATTCAGAATAATTGTGCAATTTGTGCATGATGTGTTATTGCCTAATACGTACAAGACCAAAAATTTCACATACGAACACTATATAAGTGGTACAAGTAATAAGAAGCAACTCTGGAGAAGATAACCAGATGAACTTGAAAATGAGATATAATTGAAATATAAATAAATATGTTCTGAAACACATTCGAAATTCTTTTTGTGTCTGGAGTTGGATCAGTATTTTATTTATTTTTACTTTGCTGATGAAATATTAAATAATACTTCAGGAAAGAATAAATCAGACCGGGAACTATTCTTGTAATAAATTTGAAATCTAATCCCGAAGTTTATTTGCCACTTAAATTTTAATACCTGTAATATATATTGGAATTATTAGTAATTGTTTATTGTATTTTTTCAAGAAATTTTATTTCTATTATGGTTTTTACATGACTTCTCATAAAACGATTCTATAACGAGAAGTTTATAAATAAGTTGACAAGTTGGAAATTAATAGGTAAAACCAGAATGAACTACGCCAAAAATGGGCATCTATTTAACTTAAGATAATTAGTACTAATCTTGATACCATAAACTAAGAGGCATTTAATGATCAATGATATAAAGCGAAGTTTATATATTTTTATATTAATAATGTATCTGAAACACATTTTTTCCTATATCTAGAATAAATATGAATGAGGCTTAATAATGTCTATTATGCATATATAAATCAATTTTTTAAGTATATTATATTTGTGTAATTTGTAGAACACAAGTAAAACTGGTTTCCATGTCAATATCATTACAGTTAAATAAAGAAATAGCAATAAATAGAGAAAGTATAACTTATACTTTTACCCCCTCTATTTATATCCTTCTAAATTGCATTATGAATTGGAGATATCTCCAATTTCTTTAAGTGACACAAAAACAAACAGGGTCATTCATTTTTCAGTTATTATCCAACCGTCATTCATAGCCGCCATTTATTTCTGTTACCCTACATAAGTTCTTGAGATGAGAGTTATAGTTTGTATTCTAATATTCTTAACCTGTGAGTCTTTTTTGCATCCAAATATCCTATATAAATTACAGTCTTAATGTTAATACAATAAGATGCTTACTCATTAATATATCCTTTAATTATTATACATAAAGTGATTCCAGCCATTTGTTGATCAATAGGTACAATAATCTTTATTAATAAAAAGGTTATTCTTTTAGGAATGTTGGAATTTTACTAGAACAACAATCAGCCCAATCATAACATCATGCTAGCAAGATAAATCAAAGTATTAGATAGGGAATATCAAGTGATCATAAAATTGTATAAATACATAAAAATCATTTCAAAAATTTAAATTGGAACCCTAATCAGAAATGTTGCGAGTTATGTGTAATCATGGCAATATACCTGTTTGTTGACACTTTCAAGATTATAAATATCGCTTCAGTTAGAAATGTAAGTATTTCCTAACAACAACATTGTCTCAGATTTCTCTGGGATTTGGTAAAAATAAAAGATTCGTGAGAGAGGAAAGAAGATATTTTTGGTATATGTAAATAACCAACTTTTTTTATGGAAGAGAAATAGTCCAATTATCAACAACTTAAACTGCCTCTACAACTTGGTCTAATTCTAAAAACCAGCAATAACCGAAGTTTCATGTACAATTTAAAATCTTAAAGAAAAATTGGTGTAGCCAGTAAGAAAAAATAAATGATGTATGTATAAACGTTATTTAGGGAAATATCTCAATTAAAGTATCTTGTTTCCAACAGAAAAAAGTAAAGAGTTACTATTTCATTATATTCTATTTAATTTTTCTTGTTTTATTTTTTACTACTGGAAAGTTTGTAAAAAAAAACAATTAAAATTGATAGTAAAATTGATAGTAAAATTGATAGTAAAATTGATAGTAAAATCTGACTAGGAAAAGTTATTGACAGTTTTAGGGTTCTTAAAGGCCAGCTTGGCATTTTTTCCTCTTTGGAAAAATCTTTAAAAAATTACCTAAAATATAATGAAATTAGGTAATAGTTTGAAGAAAAAACATCTTGTCGGATATTATTATATTTGTGTACGAGTTCAATTTTGGATAAAACTATCATGAAAAGAAGCATTATATGATCGTAAAAATCCAAGTCATTTACTTATAGTCTTGAATGTGCATTTATTCTATAAAAACCTCTAACCAGTCTTTATAAATATCAGAACCGTTCAGATTTTTTAGTACAGATCAAATTTCCTTGCTTTTTCTACTATTAATTATTAAACAATTAACTTTTTTGCCAAGACATAAGAAAACCCTTCCTCGTAAAGATATTTCCCTAGCATTTACTCAGAAGGACAACACTTGTAAATAATAGAGTAAAATTCAATTCTATTTTTACTTTAATTAAAAAGAAATGGGGTTAAGTGCCACGTGTGTGGAATAAGAATAGTAGGCTACTATTCTGATTTTTAAGAATTTCATCGGAAGCTAAAATTAAAACTTGTCTTTTTAACTCTACGACAAACTAGATGGATAATTCTAAAAATAAAAAGAGAATGAGTAAAGAGTGATTTCTAGTTTCTAATTTGTAAATACTTAAAGAACAAAAAGAACAAAAAGAACAAAAAGAACAAAAAGAACAAAAAGAACGAAAAGAACAGAAAGAATAAAAATAATAAAAAGAAATTTACAACTAATCGAATCTGTTGCTTTTGTGAAAGACACTTTCCGCAGGAAAACTGAACATAGCATTCGAAAACCCCACTTATCGCCAAGAACACTTCCTCATCAATGGACATTTCCCCTCTGTGCGAGTGAAAACAACATTTTTAGCAGTTTCCTAGCTTTTTATTAGAGTACAAATATAGTTGAGTACAAAACAGTATTAGTTTTGTAAACCCTGATACTGTTTTTGGATGAGGTGGGAGAAAAGTGGACAAATACAGAGAACACGTCTGTCTCATATGCGTGTGAGTACCATCAATTATCCTCTAAAGAATACATAGCAGAGAAATCAAGTTTTGGTACCAGTTAATCCGTAAGAACCATACCTATCATAGTTGAATAGAAAAATATTAATAGCAGAAATACTTGTATGGTTATGGGTTCTCAAATATAATTAAGTATATTATTTTTGATTATGACGAAGCTCTTGATAATATAACTAATCCATGAAACTAATTATTCGGAGTAAATTTCATAAAACATAATCTGCTCTAGAGTCTAAGTGCGTTTCATGTTAAAACCATTTAGCTATTCTTGTCAAATCCGACAGTTGCTCAATATCTATTTAACAAGATTGGTGGGGAATAACTCAAAGCTTTAATTTCGGAAAACCCGTCCGTGGTATATAATCTTAAAATTTTGTCTCAGGGCCCCTCCAAATCATTTCTCGGTTATGCCCTTCCGCTTTAATTAAATTTTTCCCGCTTCTCCATTATTTTCGAAGAAAGCTTTTTTGTCTAAAAGAAATGGAAAAGGAACATGTACATGTACGTCCCTTTCGTTTTAAACGGGAAAACCCAAAGAAATAATCTGCAACTATTTGTTAGGCAATGTCTAAAAGGGGGAAGAAAAGAGTGTAAAAAGGAAACAACTGAATACGACAATTGGACAAGAGTGTGGCATGTGCGCGAGAGGAAAGGGACCTAAACTTAGAGAAAAGGAAATTTCCTTTTTCAAAAAGATTTAATTAACATTTAAAAATAAATTTTGTACGAAAATTTCGCTTCAACCATATAATTTACAAAATCTTAAATTTCTTTAATAGTAAATAAAGGGGGTACGGTGATTTATTGGATAGTATACTTTTCTCATAGTTTTTGGACACAAAGAAATGAACACGGAACAAAATATTAGAAATTAAAAGAATTATGTTTATAATTGTTCTGCTAGTATTCGTTCAATATCTGGGACATTAAATCCCTGGGGAGATATGCAATTTGTCTCGACATTATTAAATCTTCTCTTCAAATGATTTCTTAGTAAGCTGAGTACTTTGCCCCTTCAATTATTTTCCGACAGCTTAGTCTATTTTCAACAATTTAATATTCTTTTTTTAATTTCTGTTGTTTTCTATTTTTGACTTTTCTTCTCTCTTCACTATAATAGTTGCTTTAAAAGACTTTGTTTTGAGATTCTAAAAGTCAATGACGAGCGATAAAAAAATGCTGTTGAAGTTACTGTTTTCTTTTATTTCTTTTTATTTTTTGAACGATAATTTTATTTTCAACAACCGTTGTTGAACTGTCACTTAACTGTCAAGCCTAAATATATTAAAAGAAGTACAGTAATATCTAAGACACTTCCCTGCCTTCAAATGCTTTCAGGGATGAATTGTGTTTTTAATGATGTGTGATTCAGTATAATTATACCCAATACATAAAATTATGCAGTGATATAATAGGTATACCGAATTGTTGAATATCTAAAAACGATAAACACTAATCTTTTTAGCGCAACCGTCCAATCAATAATATTTTCCTTTTCGATGAAAATATTTTGATACCTTACAAAAGCGCAGTAAGTCTAAAGAATTAAGAATCCTTGAACATACTGAAAGAGAAAAAGAATATCCACACATACCTCTAAAGAATAATGAATAGATTCCCAATACCATACCCTACAAAGCAAACTGGTTTAGTATTTTTCCATTTTTTCCCTTTCAAAAATAATGTTTATTATGAAATTTTTAGTTATAGAAATTATTATATAAATATAGTTTAGATTCCCAAATAATTCTTTTTATCAAATTTATCATTTGAACTAATATATAAATATATGACATTATTAAATAACCAACAGGTCTTACTTACTAACCTAATTAATTTTATTTGAACCTAGTTTAATTATTTTAGAGTTAAACATTTCCCAAGAACCTATTTTTATAAAAGGATAAAGGGAACAGATATCTTTAATTACCTTTTAGAAGGATATTCTTTGATAATTTTTTTTCACTGGATGAACAGAAATTAATCACTGATGATAGACTTCAAGTTAATTAATTTAGCAAAAAGCTTATGCTTTTTATTATTATTTCAAGCATCATTGATTGATGCAAAAGGATCTAACTACTATTACTATAATACTGAAACTTACGTTGAAGGTACTGCTGAAGTTACATATTCAACTTCTTCAACTAAATATGGTGGTGGTATCTTTGGCGGTACCACTACTGATTACTATTACTGGATTTATACTCCAAAAATTGATACCATTCAGTACTCTACTATTGGAACCAATGTTGATTCAATTTATACTGATGAGGTAATTACTACGACTACTTTTGTAAATTGGGGTACAACCATCACTTACTATTTAATATATACTCCATTAATAACAAAAACTACTACTACAACATTTCTAACTGAAATCTCTGAGTCAACAAAATATACTATTTCAACAGTGCTAACGACTTATGTTGGAGAAGATGGTATAGGTACCACAGAAACTACTTATGTTATTGCAGCTGCTAGTAACCTTTTTTTTACAACTGTTTACTATACTGATTTCTTGAAGCCTTATCAGGACACATTTGTTACAAGCTACTCAACTTACTTAGGTAGTGACAATTCAGAAACAATTATGACTATTTATCATGTATCTGGTACCGTTCCTTATGTAAGTGCCTCTTTTATACCTTGGTTTAGCACTTTCACTAGTGTTACTAGAACTGACTATCAAACTTACACCGAATTAGATGGTTCTATCCAGACGTTGACAATAATTGTGCTATATGTTCCTAAAACTTTTAGTGAGGTGTTCATTACAAAACAAGGTACTGATCAAGGTATATATACAATTACTACAACATACTCGATAGCTCGTACTACACATGTAGGTGAAGATTACATCGGGACAATTGTGTACACTTACTATGTTCAAATTCCATTCAACGCAGACTTAAAAACTTTTACTACTATAAGTTTTTTTTCGGGTTCTGAAAGAACAACATTTTCAACCACTTTTATAACCGGTGTTGGTGACGACTATTCCACAACTGTCACTACAATTTACTTAATAGCTATACCATCGAACTTAGTTTATATAACTACGACAGAACCATGGTCTGCTGATTACGATACCACCCAGATTTATGAAACGTTAACTACTGGTACTGATGGTGAAACAACAACCCAAACTATTTACTATGTTCACACATACAGAAGACCTGGTGTAACAGTGACATCACCTTGGACAGGTACTTATACAACGTATTACTCAACTTCTGTATACGTTTCAAAGAAAAACACTACGACATATTACTATTTATATATACCATATTATACCACTGTCTCCAGAACAACATCTCCTGGCCCAAGTTCTGCGACTTATACTTTTAGCACTTCATTGTTTTCTTTCACAGATGTCGATGGTAATGTCACAACTGAGACTATTTTCTATGTTCAGACTCCTAGTCGTATTTCAGAGCAAACTTATTCCACTAAAAGTGCTTTCCCTGGATTGGTAACATCCACGTACTCGTCTATTGTGAGAACTATAACTGATCAAGAGGGTAATGAAACTACAGAGACAACCTACTGGGTGGCTATTCCAACTGATTTATATAAAACGACAACTTCACAAGAATGGACTGGTCAGTACACATTAACTTGGTCTATTGGTAGTACTACTATTGAAGGTACAGATGGATTTAGTACGACTAAAACTGTTTATTTTGTAGAATATCCAAGAGGAAAAGGTATTTATACTACCACTTGGTGGACTGGAACTTATACAACAGTCTATTCAACGGGTACCACAAGAAAGTGGGGTTGGCAAGGTATTATATACGCGCGTCGTAAAACTTCTGTATTTTATGTCCGTACCCCTATTCATGCTACAACTTTCACTAGTTATATTCGTCCATGGGATTCTACTTTCACTACAACTTCTTTCTATTATACTACCATAAGAGGTGTAGATAATGAAGATACAACTGAAACTGTGTATTATATTTTCACACCAGCAGCTACAATCACCACAACTCGTTATTCACAAGGTACCGTATCGGGCACACAAACTTTGACATATTCTACATTAACAACAAAATTGGGTAACACCTACTACTTTTCCTATCAAATTATTTATTTTGTGATACTTCCGCTAAACCCACAATTTTCAACCAGCTTAACTGAATGGCATGATGACTACGTCTCAACATTTTCAACTCAAAAAACTGTATATACAGGAAAGGACGGTATAGCAACCACAGTAACTATATACGTTGTTCACACACCTCATTTGAGCGCACAGTATAGCTATATTCCTTGGACAGGGACTTTTAGCAATACCATTTTAACTACTATTTATACGAATTTGGAAGAAAACTTCAATTTTGTGGCATATTGGACAAAAACAGTTTACCTTGTCGAGACCCCAATTCGTAGATCAACTTCTATTACAAAATCATGGTGGACTGGAGATTATACTACGACCGTATCTACCACTATTTTTACTACTACCGATTTTGAAGGAAATGAAACTACCGAAACAATCTATTTAATCAATACTCCTACAAGGGTCACAACTACTACCATTTACTTTGCAAATGAGGACAACGCCACTAGTACTTTCTCCACAGACTTAACCACATTTACAGGAAAAGATGGAGAAGAAACTACAGAGACAATATTCTATGTTGCTGTACCAACTACCGCAGCCTATACTACTGTATTTACTGATTGGACTGGTAGCTTCATTACCCAATACTCAACTTCTGTTTCGACTGATGGTAAGACACTGGTGACAATATTTTACATAGCTACTCCATTCGATGCTGGTATAATTTCATATGTTCCTTGGGAAAATGATTTCACCTCAACAGTTTATACTGAAACAATTACTAGTTATGGGTTTTCAGAAACCTTCTTTGGAGAATGGGAAAAAGTTATTTATTATGTGCAAACTCCAATTCGTGGATCTACTACTAAAAATGTCACTCCTTGGGGTAACTCACAATCTTCAACTTATTTTACCATACTAACAACTACAACTGATGACAATGGCAATGAAACAACAGTTACAATCTATTATGTTTTCACACCAGTTCGTTATCATACTTCAACACAATATTCTGGTTGGGACAATGATTATACAAACTATTACTCTACATTAATAACTACTATAATTGGTGAAGATGGAGAAGCTACAACTGAAACCATTTATTTTGTTCAAACACCTTTCAGATATACTACACTTACAACTTATATTGACGGTGAAAATTCTTTTACTACTACTGTATCAACTTATATCACAATCGAAACAAATGATTCAGGTGAAGAAGTTACATCAACCGTTTATGTAGTCGAGACCCCAGATGAAACAACTATGACTTCTACATCAGAAATTTGGACGAATAGTTCCTCATCAATTATACAAGATTTATCATCAATCAGCTATAATGGTACATCGGGAGAACCAATTTATACCTCTAGTGAGTTCGAAAATGGTACCACAACTGAAAGTACAGGATACTCAAACTCATTTAACACTTCCATATCAGAATTCACATCTTACTATTCAGATTTATCATCAATCAGCTTTAATGGTACATCGGGAGAACCAATTTATACCTCTAGTGAGTTCGAAAATGGTACCACAACTGAAAGTACAGAATACTCAAACTCATTTAACACTTCCATATCAGAATTCACATCTTACTATTCAGATTTATCATCAATCAGCTTTAATGGTACATCGGGAGAACCAATTTATACCTCTAGTGAGTTCGAAAATGGTACCACAACTGAAAGTACAGAATACTCAAACTCATTTAACACTTCCATATCAGAATTCACATCTTACTATTCAGATTTATCATCAATCAGCTTTAATGGTACATCGGAAGAACCAATTAATACCTCTAGTGAGTTCGGAAATACTACGCTAAGTGTGACTACTGCTTACGAAACTTCTAACAATTCTACCATATTCACTGAAACAGAATCATCACATTCGGTAACAATCCCAAATATATCAAATAATATTACATCAATTGAATCCACTAACACATTCAACAATACCAGTGAAGAAGAATTGACTACTTCTACTTACACTTCCACCGACTCTGAAGGTAATGTTACCACCGGTACCACTACCTACCCAGTCTCCCACACCAGTGAAGAAGAATTGACTACTTCTACTTACACTTCCACCGACTCTGAAGGTAATGTTACCACCGGTACCACTACCTACCCAGTCTCCCACACCAGTGAAGAAGAATTGACTACTTCTACTTACACTTCCACCGACTCTGAAGGTAATGTTACCACCGGTACCACTACCTACCCAGTCTCCCACACCACTGAAGAAGAATTGACTACTTCTACTTACACTTCCACCGACTCTGAAGGTAATGTTACCACCGGTACCACTACCTACCCAGTCTCCCACACCACTGAAGAAGAATTGACTACTTCTACTTACACTTCCACCGACTCTGAAGGTAATGTTACCACCGGTACCACTACCTACCCAGTCTCCCACACCAGTGAAGAAGAATTGACTACTTCTACTTACACTTCCACCGACTCTGAAGGTAATGTTACCACCGGTACCACTACCTACCCAGTCTCCCACACCAGTGAAGAAGAATTGACTACTTCTACTTACACTTCCACCGACTCTGAAGGTAATGTTACCACCGGTACCACTACCTACCCAGTCTCCCACACCAGTGAAGAAGAATTGACTACTTCTACTTACACTTCCACCGACTCTGAAGGTAATGTTACCACCGGTACCACTACCTACCCAGTCTCCCACACCACTGAAGAAGAATTGACTACTTCTACTTACACTTCCACCGACTCTGAAGGTAATGTTACCACCGGTACCACTACCTACCCAGTCTCCCACACCACTGAAGAAGAATTGACTACTTCTACTTACACTTCCACCGACTCTGAAGGTAATGTTACCACCGGTACCACTACCTACCCAGTCTCCCACACCACTGAAGAAGAATTGACTACTTCTACTTACACTTCCACCGACTCTGAAGGTAATGTTACCACCGGTACCACTACCTACCCAGTCTCCCACACCACTGAAGAAGAATTGACTACTTCTACTTACACTTCCACCGACTCTGAAGGTAATGTTACCACCGGTACCACTACCTACCCAGTCTCCCACACCAGTGAAGAAGAATTGACTACTTCTACTTACACTTCCACCGACTCTGAAGGTAATGTTACCACCGGTACCACTACCTACCCAGTCTCTCACACCAGTGAAGAAGAATTGACTACTTCTACTTACACTTCCACCGACTCTGAAGGTAATGTTACCACCGGTACCACTACCTACCCAGTCTCTCACACCAGTGAAGAAGAATTGACTACTTCTACTTACACTTCCACCGACTCTGAAGGTAATGTTACCACCGGTACCACTACCTACCCAGTCTCTCACACTTCTGAAGAAGAATTGACTACTTCTACTTACACTTCCACCGACTCTGAAGGTAATGTTACCACCGGTACCACTACCTACCCAGTCTCTCACACCAGTGAAGAAGAATTGACTACTTCTACTTACACTTCCACTGACTCTGAAGGTAATGTTACCACCGGTACCACTACCTACCCAGTCTCTCACACTTCTGAAGAAGAATTGACTACTTCTACTTACACTTCCACTGACTCTGAAGGTAATGTTACCACCGGTACCACTACCTACCCAGTCTCTCACACCAGTGAAGAAGAAGTCACCACTTCTACTTACACTTCTACCGATTCTGAAGGTAATGTTACCACCGGTACCACTACCTACCCAGTCTCTCACACCAGTGAAGAAGAATTGACTACTTCTACTTACACTTCCACCGACTCTGAAGGTAATGTTACCACCGGTACCACTACCTACCCAGTCTCTCACACCAGTGAAGAAGAATTGACTACTTCTACTTACACTTCCACCGACTCTGAAGGTAATGTTACCACCGGTACCACTACCTACCCAGTCTCTCACACCAGTGAAGAAGAAGTCACCACTTCTACTTACACTTCCACCGACTCTGAAGGTAATGTTACCACCGGTACCACTACCTACCCAGTCTCTCACACTTCTGAAGAAGAAGTCACCACTTCTACTTACACTTCCACCGACTCTGAAGGCAATGTTACCACCGGTACCACTACCTACCCAGTCTCTCACACTTCTGAAGAAGAATTGACTACTTCTACTTACACTTCCACTGACTCTGAAGGTAATGTTACCACCGGAACCACTACCTACCCAGTCTCTCACACCAGTGAAGAAGAATTGACTACTTCTACTTACACTTCCACCGACTCTGAAGGTAATGTTACCACCGGTACCACTACCTACCCAGTCTCTCACACTTCTGAAGAAGAAGTCACCACTTCTACTTACACTTCCACCGACTCTGAAGGTAATGTTACCACCGGTACCACTACCTACCCAGTCTCTCACACTTCTGAAGAAGAAGTCACCACTTCTACTTACACTTCCACCGACTCTGAAGGTAATGTTACCACCGGTACCACTACCTACCCAGTCTCTCACACCAGTGAAGAAGAATTGACTACTTCTACTTACACTTCCACTGACTCTGAAGGTAATGTTACCACCGGTACCACTACCTACCCAGTCTCTCACACCAGTGAAGAAGAAATCACCACTTCTACTTACAGTTCCACCGACTCTGAAGGTAATGTTACCACCGGTACCACTACCTACCCAGTCTCTCACACCAGTGAAGAAGAATTGACTACTTCTACTTACACTTCCACCGACTCTGAAGGTAATGTTACCACCGGTACCACTACCTACCCAGTCTCTCACACCAGTGAAGAAGAAGTCACCACTTCTACTTACACTTCCACCGACTCTGAAGGTAATGTTACCACCGGTACCACTACCTACCCAGTCTCTCACACCAGTGAAGAAGAAGTCACCACTTCTACTTACACTTCCACCGACTCTGAAGGTAATGTTACCACCGGTACCACTACCTACCCAGTCTCTCACACCAGTGAAGAAGAATTGACTACTTCTACTTACACTTCCACCGACTCTGAAGGCAATGTTACCACCGGTACCACTACCTACCCAGTCTCTCACACCAGTGAAGAAGAATTGACTACTTCTACTTACACTTCCACCGACTCTGAAGGTAATGTTACCACCGGTACCACTACCTACCCAGTCTCTCACACCAGTGAAGAAGAAGTCACCACTTCTACTTACACTTCCACCGACTCTGAAGGTAATGTTACCACCGGTACCACTACCTACCCAGTCTCTCACACTTCTGAAGAAGAAGTCACCACTTCTACTTACACTTCCACTGACTCTGAAGGTAATGTTACCACCGGCACCACTACCTACCCAGTCTCTCACACTTCTGAAGAAGAATTGACTACTTCTACTTACACTTCCACTGACTCTGAAGGTAATGTTACCACCGGAACCACTACCTACCCAGTCTCTCACACTTCTGAAGAAGAAGTCACCACTTCTACTTACACTTCCACCGACTCTGAAGGTAATGTTACCACCGGTACCACTACCTACCCAGTCTCTCACACCAGTGAAGAAGAAGTCACCACTTCTACTTACACTTCCACCGACTCTGAAGGTAATGTTACCACCGGTACCACTACCTACCCAGTCTCTCACACCAGTGAAGAAGAATTGACTACTTCTACTTACACTTCCACCGACTCTGAAGGTAATGTTACCACCGGTACCACTACCTACCCAGTCTCTCACACTTCTGAAGAAGAAGTCACCACTTCTACTTACACTTCCACCGACTCTGAAGGTAATGTTACCACCGGTACCACTACCTACCCAGTCTCTCACACCAGTGAAGAAGAATTGACTACTTCTACTTACACTTCCACTGACTCTGAAGGTAATGTTACCACCGGTACCACTACCTACCCAGTCTCTCACACCAGTGAAGAAGAAGTCACCACTTCTACTTACACTTCCACCGACTCTGAAGGTAATGTTACCACCGGTACCACTACCTACCCAGTCTCTCACACCAGTGAAGAAGAAGTCACCACTTCTACTTACACTTCCACCGACTCTGAAGGTAATGTTACCACCGGTACCACTACCTACCCAGTCTCTCACACCAGTGAAGAAGAATTGACTACTTCTACTTACACTTCCACCGACTCTGAAGGTAATGTTACCACCGGTACCACTACCTACCCAGTCTCTCACACCAGTGAAGAAGAAGTCACCACTTCTACTTACACTTCCACTGACTCTGAAGGTAATGTTACCACCGGTACCACTACCTACCCAGTCTCTCACACCAGTGAAGAAGAATTGACTACTTCTACTTACACTTCCACCGACTCTGAAGGCAATGTTACCACCGGTACCACTACCTACCCAGTCTCTCACACCAGTGAAGAAGAATTGACTACTTCTACTTACATTTCCACCGACTCTGAAGGTAATGTTACCACCGGTACCACTACCTACCCAGTCTCTCACACCAGTGAAGAAGAATTGACTACTTCTACTTACACTTCCACCGACTCTGAAGGTAATGTTACCACCGGTACCACTACCTACCCAGTCTCTCACACTTCTGAAGAAGAAGTCACCACTTCTACTTACACTTCCACCGACTCTGAAGGTAATGTTACCACCGGTACCACTACCTACCCAGTCTCTCACACTTCTGAAGAAGAAGTCACCACTTCTACTTACACTTCCACCGACTCTGAAGGTAATGTTACCACCGGTACCACTACCTACCCAGTCTCTCACACCAGTGAAGAAGAAGTCACCACTTCTACTTACACTTCCACCGACTCTGAAGGTAATGTTACCACCGGTACCACTACCTACCCAGTCTCTCACACCAGTGAAGAAGAATTGACTACTTCTACTTACACTTCCACCGACTCTGAAGGTAATGTTACCACCGGTACCACTACCTACCCAGTCTCTCACACCAGTGAAGAAGAATTGACTACTTCTACTTACACTTCCACCGACTCTGAAGGTAATGTTACCACCGGTACCACTACCTACCCAGTCTCTCACACCAGTGAAGAAGAATTGACTACTTCTACTTACACTTCCACCGACTCTGAAGGTAATGTTACCACCGGTACCACTACCTACCCAGTCTCTCACACCAGTGAAGAAGAATTGACTACTTCTACTTACACTTCCACCGACTCTGAAGGTAATGTTACCACCGGTACCACTACCTACCCAGTCTCTCACACTTCTGAAGAAGAATTGACTACTTCTACTTACACTTCCACCGACTCTGAAGGTAATGTTACCACCGGTACCACTACCTACCCAGTCTCTCACACCAGTGAAGAAGAATTGACTACTTCTACTTACACTTCCACTGACTCTGAAGGTAATGTTACCACCGGTACCACTACCTACCCAGTCTCTCACACTTCTGAAGAAGAATTGACTACTTCTACTTACACTTCCACTGACTCTGAAGGTAATGTTACCACCGGTACCACTACCTACCCAGTCTCTCACACCAGTGAAGAAGAAGTCACCACTTCTACTTACACTTCCACCGACTCTGAAGGTAATGTTACCACCGGTACCACTACCTACCCAGTCTCTCACACCAGTGAAGAAGAATTGACTACTTCTACTTACACTTCCACCGACTCTGAAGGTAATGTTACCACCGGTACCACTACCTACCCAGTCTCTCACGCTTCTGAAGAAGAAGTCACCACTTCTACTTACACTTCCACCGACTCTGAAGGTAATGTTACCACCGGTACCACTACCTACCCAGTCTCTCACACCAGTGAAGAAGAATTGACTACTTCTACTTACACTTCCACCGACTCTGAAGGTAATGTTACCACCGGTACCACTACCTACCCAGTCTCTCACACTTCTGAAGAAGAAGTCACCACTTCTACTTACACTTCCACCGACTCTGAAGGTAATGTTACCACCGGTACCACTACCTACCCAGTCTCTCACACCAGTGAAGAAGAAGTCACCACTTCTACTTACACTTCCACCGACTCTGAAGGTAATGTTACCACCGGTACCACTACCTACCCAGTCTCTCACACCAGTGAAGAAGAATTGACTACTTCTACTTACACTTCCACCGACTCTGAAGGTAATGTTACCACCGGTACCACTACCTACCCAGTCTCTCACACCAGTGAAGAAGAATTGACTACTTCTACTTACACTTCCACCGACTCTGAAGGTAATGTTACCACCGGTACCACTACCTACCCAGTCTCTCACACCAGTGAAGAAGAAGTCACCACTTCTACTTACACTTCCACCGACTCTGAAGGTAATGTTACCACCGGTACCACTACCTACCCAGTCTCTCACACCAGTGAAGAAGAAGTCACCACTTCTACTTACACTTCCACCGACTCTGAAGGTAATGTTACCACCGGTACCACTACCTACCCAGTCTCTCACACCAGTGAAGAAGAATTGACTACTTCTACTTACACTTCCACCGACTCTGAAGGTAATGTTACCACCGGTACCACTACCTACCCAGTCTCTCACACCAGTGAAGAAGAATTGACTACTTCTACTTACACTTCCACCGACTCTGAAGGTAATGTTACCACCGGTACCACTACCTACCCAGTCTCTCACACCAGTGAAGAAGAAGTCACCACTTCTACTTACACTTCCACCGACTCTGAAGGTAATGTTACCACCGGTACCACTACCTACCCAGTCTCTCACACCAGTGAAGAAGAATTGACTACTTCTACTTACACTTCCACCGACTCTGAAGGTAATGTTACCACCGGTACCACTACCTACCCAGTCTCTCACACCAGTGAAGAAGAATTGACTACTTCTACTTACACTTCCACCGACTCTGAAGGTAATGTTACCACCGGTACCACTACCTACCCAGTCTCTCACACTTCTGAAGAAGAAGTCACCACTTCTACTTACACTTCCACCGACTCTGAAGGTAATGTTACCACCGGTACCACTACCTACCCAGTCTCTCACACTTTTGAAGAAGAAGTCACCACTTCTACTTACACTTCCACCGACTCTGAAGGTAATGTTACCACCGGTACCACTACCTACCCAGTCTCTCACACCAGTGAAGAAGAATTGACTACTTCTACTTACACTTCCACTGACTCTGAAGGTAATGTTACCACCGGTACCACTACCTACCCAGTCTCTCACACCAGTGAAGAAGAATTGACTACTTCTACTTACACTTCCACTGACTCTGAAGGTAATGTTACCACCGGTACCACTACCTACCCAGTCTCTCACACCAGTGAAGAAGAATTGACTACTTCTACTTACACTTCCACCGACTCTGAAGGTAATGTTACCACCGGTACCACTACCTACCCAGTCTCTCACACCAGTGAAGAAGAATTGACTACTTCTACTTACACTTCCACTGACTCTGAAGGTAATGTTACCACCGGTACCACTACCTACCCAGTCTCTCACACCAGTGAAGAAGAAGTCACCACTTCTACCTACACTTCCACCGACTCTGAAGGTAATGTTACCACTGGTACCACTACCTACCCAGTCTCTCACACCAGTGAAGAAGAAGTCACCACTTCTACTTACACTTCCACCGACTCTGAAGGTAATGTTACCACCGGTACCACTACCTACCCAGTCTCTCACACCAGTGAAGAAGAAGTCACCACTTCTACTTACACTTCCACCGACTCTGAAGGTAATGTTACCACTGGTACCACTACCTACCCAGTCTCTCACACCAGTGAAGAAGAATTGACTACTTCTACTTACACTTCCACCGACTCTGAAGGTAATGTTACCACCGGTACCACTACCTACCCAGTCTCTCACACTTCTGAAGAAGAAGTCACCACTTCTACTTACACTTCCACCGACTCTGAAGGTAATGTTACCACCGGTACCACTACCTACCCAGTCTCTCACACCAGTGAAGAAGAATTGACTACTTCTACTTACACTTCCACCGACTCTGAAGGTAATGTTACCACCGGTACCACTACCTACCCAGTCTCCCACACCAGTGAAGAAGAAGTCACCACTTCTACTTACACTTCCACCGACTCTGAAGGTAATGTTACCACCGGTACCACCACCTACCCAGTCTCTCACACCAGTGAAGAAGAAGTCACCACTTCTACTTACACTTCCACCGACTCTGAAGGTAATGTTACCACCGGTACCACCACCTACCCAGTCTCTCACACTTCTGAAGAAGAATTGACTACTTCTACTTACACTTCCACCGACTCTGAAGGTAATATTACCACCGGTACCACCACCTACCCAGTCTCCCACACCAGTGAAGAAGAAGTCACCACTTCTACTTACACTTCCACCGACTCTGAAGGTAATGTTACCACCGGTACTACTACCTACCCAGTTTCTCACACCAGTGAAGAAGAAGTAACCACTTCTACTTACACTTCCACCGACTCTGAAGGTAATGTTACCACCGGTACCACCACCTACCCAGTCTCTCACACCAGTGAAGAAGAATTGACTACTTCTACTTACACTTCCACCGACTCTGAAGGTAATGTTACCACCGGTACCACCACCTACCCAGTCTCTCACACCAGG